GAGACCCTGTCTCAAAAAGACCAAAAAAAAAAAAAAAGTAACGGCTAAAATCTTCTCAAAATGATTTTTAAAAATAATGTACCAACTGTGCAGAAGGAATGTAAACATTATGTACTGAAAACATGCACAAAAACCAAGGGGATCAAAAGAGGAGCGGGAGCGGGTGGGAAAGGGATGGAGGAGGAATGAAGACGTGCTCTGCACGGGCACCACTGCCACGCAAGGAATGTACACACGGTGCGCTGCACGTGTGTGAACAGAACAATACGTTAAAAATCTACAAATGCAAGGAGCTCAACAAACCCAGAGTGAGTGACACACAAAAAGATCCACGTCTGTGCATGTCATAGTGCAACTGTGGAGAGCCAATAACAAAGAAAATCTTGACAACAGCAAGAGAAAAACGAATCATCACACAGAGGAAAAGTAGCAATAAAATTAAAGTCTGACTTCTCATGTGGAACAGCGGAGGACACAGCAGTATGTAACATACTGAACGTGCTGGAGAAACCCAGGGAGTCTGTATTCTGGAATGCGATCATTGAGGTGTCAGGATAAAACAAGGATGTTCTCTGATAAAGCTGATTTACTACCTTAAAAATTATTTTTTCATCTTAAAAGTACTCCAAAAATGACTAATATATGTTAACATAAAATTATAGACAACTTTTTCTCATGTCCTGAACTTTAAAAAATACACAAAATTGTGTGAAACAATTCCAGCACTATACTGTTAGATTTTAAAACTATAAAAATGAAATACATATGACACTAATGGCACAGACCATGTAAGAGGGACCAGAGCCATATCGGAGTGTCTATATATCACCAGCATTAAAGGTGGTATAACCTGAAGTAGGTAGTGATAAATCGGTACGTATTATAATCCCCACAGCAACCACTAGGAAGATAACCCAAAAACAGTTTAAAAGAGGAATTAAAATGGTGCCATAAAAACTATGTAATGCAGAAGTCAGTTAAAGAGAAATAGGATTCCAACCCCAAAGGTATTATGTGATGTAGATCATTCTTCTTCAATATTTAAATTATATCAAAGAATAAGTTACTAACAATATTGGATTTTGACTACAGAATCTCTGGAATTTACTATGGTATTATGAAAATGTATGTCTCGGTTTGGTAAAAGAAGAAAATCAGGATATAGACGTGAAGGGACAAGTTTTTTTCCCTCTCAAACCTCAGGTTCATAGCAATCATTCTTCCTATTTACGTATATTCCTTCCAACACAGACCTCAGAAAGAATGGGAGATACGCAGACTGAGAAGTCACTCTACGAATGTAGGGAGATCCTCACAAAAGCTAGCCTCTGCCGGGTGCAAAACCAGAGAAAGCATTTACTGCTGAGCATGTGGTGTGTGCTCAATAAACATTTTAACTCTGCAAAGATGACCTTTGCGTAATTCAGAGTAGAATGGGTTTGGGTCAGGAATCTCAGACAAATCTCCGCCTCTCCAGTTGTACATCTAGAAGACCATATGATTGGTATGGAAAAATTAATTCACAGCCCTGCACAAAACGGTCCTTTTACCTGAATGTCTTCGATCACTGATTTGAACTGGGGAACGCGTTCTGTCATGTGTTTAACCAGTTCCATCGCATTATCGAACCCCTTCACATACTCTCCATACATCTTGAGGAATGGCGCCAGTTTTTGAAGGATGTCTCCGATTCTCGGAGTGGTTTCCCTGTATCAAACACAGAAACAAGCCATTAGGGTCTCTCCCAGAATGAATGGATTCTAATCCAGGAGTCAAAATGAAGTAAGTACTTTTTACGTCCACCCTCTGCTTAATCAGATCCACTTTGCTGAGAGACTGGAAGAGAATAAAGCACCTTGTGGAAGCGAGTTTAGTAAGAGAGATGCTTAGCATTCTCAAAGCTCCAGGTTATCCTTACGTCTTGTCTTCGTTAGTCAAAAGACAGTTTGGAGAGCAGAGATGAAATCCTTTTCAGCTAAAGCTGAAAATGTACCACAGCTGCTATCAAGTCTTTAACATAAAACCTGGCACAGTGTCTAGTTCTAGCAGGGTACAGTAAGTAGTATTTCTACTTCAACTTCAAGGCTAAAAACAGTGCCTGGATGACTGCCTTAGATGCATCATTTCTATCTTCTCCTCTTACCATTCTTGCATTCGTTTCTCCAGCTCTGGCAATAGGAATTTACTATGGAAGGCATGGATTGATGAAATGTTAGAAAAGATTTTATTCACCATCTCTGCTGGAAATGAGCCTCGGTTTGCTTCTTCCAATAGTTTACAATAAAATACCTGAGTAAAAGAATAAACCAAACATTACTTCAGATTTGTTGGTTAACCAACTAGCACTAAGTCAGGCCCACAGTGGGCTCTTAGTTTACTTTTGTTGAATAAATGGAGAAGTTAATGGTTCCGGAAACCAATCATTACTTGAAATGTAGGAATGGGTATACGATTTGGAAGAACTAAGTATAAAAATTAGGACACACGGATTCTAACTTAGGGTATGCTCCTATCTGGTGGATGTTAAGGTAAAGAATACACCTTCTGTGCCAGAGGATTTCCAACTGAAGTTAATAGGATGTACCCTTCCGATCCACAGGTAGAGCTAAGGATATGGAAACACCTTCTATGCACACAGATGGTCACTGTGGGGTTTTTCACTTCTGTTTATGATTTAGATGACTTCTATAGCACTTGTACACACTGTTCTTCATTATAGTTTGTTGACGTAAATCTCGTTTTTCCTATTAAAACTATATGTACGGTGGGAAAGGAAGGTGCATGATTTAGTTTCTACAGTGGAACTGGTGGTCGGTGAATGAACAAAAGTTCACTTTGGCTCTAGATATTCACTTGTTTCTTCATAAATAATCACACATGATAAAACATGATTTTTAGAAAGGAAAAATCTTCTGTACATAGTAACAGGTACCTTGTAGACAACTAGTAAGAGAAACCCCTTGAGGTCTTAGCTCTACTCTACTAGGGCTACTATCCCTCTTAACTGCAATTCTGCTAAATAAAGGTAGAAGGAGGTCTGTTCCTTCGTAATGGCCAGATGGTTGTTAATTTTCTAAATTCTCCCCACTGTATTTTCTTGGGATGCAAAAAGAACACAAAATTATTCCCTTAGACATTCCAGAAGATAGGATACTATAGTAATTAAGATTCCAAAAGTCTAAGAGGTCAGCAACAGTAGCCCAGTTAATTTGGGGGGGGGAGCGGGGGAGGGGAAGGGAGAGGGGAAGGGGAAGGGAGAGGGGGAGGAGGAGGGGGAGGGAGAGGGAGGACTTGCTACTAAGAGGAGAAGACATTTTTCTTTGATAAGAATATTACAAAGTACCAGGTCTATAATTTCCATGTGGAAAGAAAGATATTTCAAAGGCTCAAAGTCCACAGGAATTGGCTTTTATAGTGAAATTTCTTGAAAAACGAATATTTGAGCCACAACCTCCCTATTTCAAAGAACACAAGCCCTCAACTGCTGCTCAAGGCTAATCCTACCAGGCATGCAACTCACTCCTGGGACCTAGGCTAAAGTGTACCCAGGCCCGCCTTTGAAATTCCAAGGTTCCTCTGGCAGGAGGGCGACAGTTCTTCTCAACAACCAACATTCAAGCATGGCACCTTTTCTTTTAACAAGAGGAATTTGTATGAGCAGGCAATCGACCAACTGTCACTTTTTCATTGTTGAAACAGGCTTAAAAAGCTTTCATTTAACTGTTATTCTTATGATACATTAAAAAATTTCTTGAAATCATCCTCAAATTGCCACCATGATGAAAAGTACAAAATATGATAAAATAGATTACATATGCAAAAAATATTGACTGGATAACATTATGCCAGGCACTCCATCAAAATGTTCACATAAGGTCAAGCAACTGAACTCAAAATCTTCTGATCGCACCAGCTAAGGTCACTCGCCCAGTACTGAACAACAAACAAAATCAGCAGTATATTCATGTCAGCATTAGCATCGCTAGTATAGTAACAAACTGTCCTCCAGGGCCACAATAAATGGCCAATAATCAGGCTAACGTCTAACGTTATGGGATACAGATAAAGTCATTTTGTGACTTGTACAGGGAGAACACTCTACCCTTAGGAATTACAAAATGTTTACATCAAGTGAATTCACCAATGTAGCTGAAAAGTATTCAAGGTTCCCTGGAGCAAAAAGCCCTTATTCATCAAATAACTGCTTGTCTGGCAGTTTTTAAATTGTCTAAATTACTGGGTTAACATGATACACAGTGCCAACTCATAAAGTGATTCTGAGGGAAGACGTTACCTGGTCTAAGAGGTCGAGTCGGTTGACGTAAGCTCTTTCCGTAAGCAAAAGTTCATTGGCTATTTTGTGAAGTTTTTGCTCATTTGTTTCCTAAGAACAGAACAGACAGCCACACATTAGAAACAGATTTGGACGTTATTTCTCAAGTAAGACATGCCTCACCAAATAGCCTGATCAAAGCCGATTTCTTACGTTTCTGAGGTGCTCAGTTCCTTTCAGCTATCAAGGAATATTTGGGAGCTGAGCGATCAATTCGATTTCAGACACACCTTAATTCTGCATCAGCTAACACTACCCTGTCCTCAACACACCTTTTCTTTTTTCAGTTCCCAACATTATTTTTACCTGTCTCTCCTAGGTTCTCACCACGTTTAAACACGAGGTCCAATGATGAGCTCCAGGCATACAACATTCTGCCATTTAAAGGAATATGTAATGAGAAATTCCACATACTACAGTCGGTAGTAAGACACACGCCCATGTGTCCTGCGCTGAGATTCAACTATCAACTCGTTAATCTTGCATCTATGCGCCGCCTATATTATTTTCAATTAAATCTCACTCCTTTATTTCCACCATACATATTTATTTAACCCTAGTTTGTATAGCCTTACTAGTTTATGGTGACGGACATTTTTTCCTTATTAGCTGCTCTAGCCCCTGTGTCTTCTACAATGCTTCCACAAAAACACTGACACTCAACACAATAATTGTTGAATGAATTATATTATTAAATAAATGAAGAGTATTATTAACTACTGCCGTGCATTCATTACTATTTTGACATGGGGTTAAGCTAAGACCAAATCCATCCTTGCTGGAGAACTCCTCCCTCAACACCAAAGCCCCAAAGTTCCCATCCTGTTAATGGAGCAATCTCTGTCCATCCAGTTCACTGCTTTGGAAGCCCAGCCACGGATACATCTTAGCGTTCATCCTTTAAGTTCTTGTTGCACACCAAATGTCAAGCTCAGGTCAATCAAAAGCTTCCAAATGGTCTGATTCCAACTTGTTTGGGGTTCTTTCTACCCACCTTTGCACTCGGCTGTCTGAGGAATCTTTCTAAAACTTTCTCAGCACACATGATCCTACTTCCCATGGAAAGAGCAGCTGCCGGTAGTTCTTTTTCAGAGAAATACCCAAAATATCCAAACCTCCACTGGCTTCCTCACACTTACTTCCCACTGTGTGTTTAAAAGTCTATTTCTCTCTAAAGACACCAGTCTGACACATCTGTCATCACTATCCAAACGTGTTCCTGGCCACCTCCACACCGCCCTTCTCTCATCCTCAGCCTGGCGCAGGCTCTTGCTGTATTTCTTTAGGTGTATAAAACTTACTCTCCTTTGACTACCTGTCCCGTTCCCATTTCTTGTCTAGAGGCTTCTTCAAGTGTTTAAACCCCTTGCGCTTAGTCCTAGTAGCATGCATTGTATTTCTTTCCTTTTCTTTTTTGATACAGGGTCTCACTATATAGTTCGGGCTGGACTCGAACTCTCAGCAGTCTTCCCGCCCCACGCTACGAAGTGCTGGGTTACAGGTGTGCACCCTCACACCTGGCTTATTCTCTGAGACAGTCACTGAAAGAGACTTCTCTTTGAGCTCCACATGAATGAGGATCATTCCCATGAGCACAGACAGGAAGCCAACGGCCTTGTCATTGATTTTGTCTGGCTAATTGTTATTTGCGGCTGGAAGCACCCTGACATACAGGAAACTCAAATACAATGATATATGTGCAGTAAAGTCCATTTAAAAACTTAAGTAATTTTTAAGCAGTTAATACTTAGGAGAAAAGGATAACAGTACTCAGTGAAAGAAAGATATGATTTTCGAACTATCATAAGTGAACGCAAATGTATAGTAAATACATTATGAAACCTACCAGCATTTCAGAGGAATAGATACACTATCTTTCATATTCACAAAAAATATTTTGCTGCATCAACTAGCAAACTTTTTTTAAAGCCTGATTTGCCAAGGCATAATTTACGAACAGTAAGACTCCCGGCTCTGGCAGTTCTGATGTATGCATACAATCATATAACCACTCGCACAATGAGGGTACAGGAGTTCCCAACAAGACTAAATGTCTTTTTTGCCCTCCAGTGCCAACCTTCTCTCTACTTGCAGGCTTTCTGTACCAGCTGACCCTGAGCTGTCCCCGACCAGAATGTGTGGAAGTGGAATCAGAGTGACCAGGTCTTCTGCATCTTCTGTCACATAGCAAAATGCATCTGAGACACATCCATGTTGTTTTTAGCAGCACAAGTTTGCTCTTGGGGTGGAAGAGCCCTGGGAATCGAACTCAGGACCTTGTGCTTGCCAGGCAGGTGCTATGCCACTGAGCTAGATTCCCTGGCCTAAAGTCTGCTCTTTTTAAGCCCTCAGTTTTATTCTAATAGTACTGATGTCTGCTTCTACCTCTGACAGTACCTTTAAAGAAAGCAGCCCAGCAGAACTTGGGCCTTGATAAAATAACCCTTATGAGCCATATGTTAACCACATTACACTGTCTATTACAGCTAAACAATGAAGCCCCCAGAGGTTTCCTCTTCCACACCCCTACAGGATCTCGAACAGGAAGTGTGTAAGAAACAACTTTTGCTGACTACAAAGCAATGTTAGCTGAACTTGGCAAATTGTAGGTATCCTGGTTCTATTTTGCAAAATCTGAGAGATGACAGCAGTTATTAGCAAAGCTGTGCCGCTTCCACACAGATGGGCTAATACACACGTTAGGTGCCTGACCTTGCCAGAGCCAAAGCAAAGTTAGCAAAAAGAAGCTTGCTGACAGACGCTTTAATCACTCGCTCACACAGAGGCTGCAGGAAAGTTGCAAGGGATTTTTGCAGAGGAGATGAGGAAATCATGAACTCGTGGAGCTTTGCTTTAGATTAATAAAACTGTCACCATAATAAGAATAGCTAACACTGATAATTTGTTATGTGCCAGACACTGTAAGTACTTTGCGTGAATTGATTAATCTTTATAGAGTTCTACAATCGTTTTTATTCCCATTTTACAGGCACATATGTACACACACACACACATACACAAACAAAGCCCCAGGCTTAAAGAGGCACTATAGCTTATCCCAGGTTACAGAGTGTCAAGGTATCAGATTCCATTCATACAGAAGAGTCCATGAGTCTAAGTAACTCCTCAGAATACCCTTTGATGCTCACCTTTCTTTGCAACAAAACAAGACTGTGACGTGTGCCTAAGAGGAGACGGACTGGCAAAATGTAAACTATCTGCTTTCTAAATCCAGAAATGGAATGTGGGGATTATCATGCATCTAAATTGATTAAATTTTTATTTTTAATTTAGTTTTCAACATACATTCTATTTAAGGCAGATTTTTTAGCATTTTAGTAGTAATTATCAAGTTACAAAATTTGGCTATTTTAATGTAAATATAACATACTGGCTTTCAGCTGTAACAATTTACCAAAATGCACCTATGAGCACACTTATGGGTAAATAATTTATTTGCATGTGTGGGTCTCTGAGACATTATGAGATGAGATATCTATATACCTGCCTTTCAAAGTAGAAACTACAATTTCTCCTCCCCATGCTGAGCTGCAAAAACTCCAATCCTTGTCCTCTGTCCTGGAGTTGCTGGTGACCTCCTGTCACCCAACACTGGGTCCTTAGACCCCGGTCATTCCACAGAGGCCTCCCAGGCCTTGGAGGACAGAACACTGCAGAGACGCTAAAAAGACTCTGCGAGACGGGCCTTGCTAGGCCCCCGTCAGTCTGCTAATAAAGAATCCATAAACCCAAAGGACCGGATCCACAAAGGTCCTCAGAGGCAAAAGTGCAGAGTTTCCCCGCCGGCAGTGCAGCCCAGGGCCATGCCCCAGAAGTTCCATGCCTCTCCTCCCACCCTTCCCCCGCACCTAGCTCTAGCCTTCACAAACCCTCACAGCAGTGAATGTGTTTCCCTGAGGCCTGCGAGCTACTTAGGCACATCAGTCACACCGGGAAGGGTCCTGCCCAACCTCAGTTGAGGGCGGCAGGTCAGCCGCACAGGTGCGCCCACCTGGGGCAGGGCCTGGCGTGCTGGGAGGGGAAGTCTCAGGGTGGAACCCGCAGCCATGGGCCCTGACGCTCTCTCCCGATACAATTCGCTGATATCGGTGAGGAGGCTCCCAGACCTGGGGTCCTGCAGATGGGAGAGAGCTGTGCTCCCATGGGGTACACAGGGGTCACCTGTGTCGTAGCACTGGTTTTTCCTTCCGGGTCATCAGGCGCTAACAGACTTGTGTATAAAGAACCCAGTGGCTTTTCAAACGCTGCCATGATGGGACTGTACCCTAATCTTTTAAACAGGAAAGTAAATACCATTTCTTAATATTTGCCACTTCAAAATTACATAACACCCACTTTATGCTTAGTGCTTTACTAAGCAGTCACTTATTCTTGTGGTCCACTGAACAACAGTAACGTTATAAAACACTGACTTCACAAGCTCATTTTCTCCTCTTACCACCTAAAATAGACAAGGCTGACATTTCAAAATAACCTATAAATAATTAGGAATTAGAAATAATTTATAATCTTTAGTAAACCATATTAAGAAACATCCGACCTTTGATATCCTTTTTAAAAGGGTTTTTTTCACTTGTAAATTCATGAGACTATATTCAAAGACTGAAAGCTGCCCCGGGGTTTTGCCTCAAAACAAAAACACATTGTGTATATCTAAACTACCGGAATGGAAAAAGATGAACTCCTCTGTAATGGAATATACAAACACAGGGATTTCCCCCAACTGCTCGGTGCCCCTCACGCTATTTCCAGGGCCCTGGCATGCGGATGCCCTTTCGCCTGGCCTCCGGGGTGAGGGTCAGTGTGGTGCTGCTGACTCGTGAATGAACTTCGGCTCTGCCTCCTCATCTGCAGATGTCCCCAGCCCCTGCAGGCCTCTTCAGACCTTCTGGCAGGACAGTCCCATACGGCAGGAGGCAGGACAGAGCGACCCCGTGGCCACTCGCAGAGTCCCATTAACAGGGCAGGCAGAAATCGCTTGTGTGGAGCCAGCCATTCATTCTTCAAAATCCGAGAGCCTCCCTCCCACC